GTAGACTATTGAACACAGAGTGAGCTGATTTGTACATAGGGTTATAAAGTGTGAAACCCCGCAACTGTGTGATAAGTAATTGTAGCCGTTACTTGTAGATTGTTCAATAAACCAATTAACAATCTCTACGGCGTCTTCAGTAATGGAAACACGTTACACTGGTGTCAGAAGTGGGATTTGGACTTACACACATGATCAACGAGATTCGAACTCGAAACACATTACATTGGTGTCAGAAGAGGGATTTGGACTTACACACGTGACCGTGAGTAATAACTGAATTATTGTGCATCGAGTATTTTACTGCTACAAAATGGAGATGCAGCAGATGATGGAAATGCTGGCAAGGATGGACGCCAGCATGAAAACCCATCAAGAAGAAGTGAGAGCTGGCCAAGAGAAAACAAATATGATGCTGAAAGAGGCAGAAGCCAATAGAAAAGCCGACATGGAAAAGTTGGAGGCCAATAGGAAGAGAGACAAAGAAGATTTAATGGCGAAATTAGACGCCTACCAAGAAAAGGTGGCGGCCGATAGGAAGGCCGACAAGGAAGAGATGAAGGCCGAAATGCAATCTATGCGGTCAGAGTAGGAAGAGATAATCCAACATAGAATTGAAAACAGTTTTGCCATCTTTGAACACGGCAAACGGATTCTGCAGTCGGAGCTAACTGAGATGATTGAAGTGTCCCTCTGCGCGCGAACAACACAACTCCAAGAAGACTTAACGAAAAACTACAATGAAACCTGCGCAGCAATTGAGGAAGCCAAACGCGAGTTCCGGGCACGGTTGGACGAGACGAGTGGAATGAAGGCTGAGTGGGTAAATACATCAAAAATAGTCACGAGCGCTGCTCAGCCACCGACATTCAATGGAAATTCGACGTGGAGCGTGTTCCGGCGACAATTCGAGACCGTAGCAGAACACAACCAATGGACGGACAGGGAAAAATTAACATACCTCATCACCACTCTGAAGGGCCAGGCGGCAGAAGTGCTACCTGGCATTCCGACAAATACGACTTATGAGGAAACGCTTCAGGTACTAGAGGACCGTTTCGGTGACCAACACTTTGCAGCTGCCTACCGCTGCCAATTAAGAACAAGGACCCAGAAACCTGGAGAATCCCTGCAAGACTTTGCCATGGCCATTGAACTGCTATCCCATCGTGCCTACCCCAATCTACCTGCAGACTACATAGGAAGAGAGGCAGCAACAGCCTTCGTATACGGAATACGAGATGCCGATATAAAGATCCCGTTGCTGCTAGGAGGTGAGAAGAAGGTAAACGAGGCCCTCCGACAAGCACTAGAGCTGCAAGCGGTACAGATAGCAGCTAGACCTCACGAAGATAGCACCAAGACATACCGGAAGTACCGATCGTCCGCCACCCAACGAGGAGACGGAAGGCAATCAGGGTGCTGGAGTTGTGGAAAACTGGGCCACTTTGCGAACAACTGCCCCTACGAAAGGAAGGCTAATAATGAGATGTGACGAAAACATGAAGATAGGCCAGGCAGATACACATGGGAATTGCCAAGAAGGCACGACGAACACACGAACAGGATGGGTACCCAACTGTTGGGAAACGAGCGACAGCTGGCGGAGAAGGGCAAACACCGGCATATGCATTAAGGCCCACACGCTACGCACTCACCGTCAAAAGGGTGAATGCCAACCACAATGAGATGACGGCCTGCCAAGTGATAGAGGCACGTCTACGAGAAGGAAAGCCGGCCTCAGTGGACACGAAACCTGCGCGGCACAACAAGAGGAGGTCCCCACAATGATACCGGTCGGAGTGACGATGGCCTGCCAAGAAAGGGAGGCACATCCAGAAGAAGAAGAGCCGACTTCAGCAAACAGGAAACCTGAGGCGGCAGAACTACGAGAGGTACCCGTACATGACGCCGAAGTAATGCCGGTCAGAGAACCGAAGAAGAAAAGGCGCAGGGACCGCAATCGATGAAATAAGAAGAATCCGACATGGGAAAATTGCGGACCCCAGAATAAATTGGCCGTCGTCAGCAGGAGGGTGTCCCGCTCTGCAAGAGTGGCATGGCGCAAGAGGAACATCTTCAGGAAATCTTGGACCCGAGGAGATCATGCGTCCCGGATAAAGTTGGCTGCCATCTGCAAGAAGATATCCCGTCACGCGACAGTGGCACAACGTTGGAGAAATGACTTCAAGAAGGAAACTCCCCAGGGAACCTTCGGAAGCCGGAGAAAGGATTTGGCGCCACAGTCTCGCGCCAGCAAGTGGCTGGAAGACCAGGAGGAACAACGACGTCAGCGAGTGCAAACAACGCATCAAGAGCTGTTACGTCGATGTAAGAAATTTCCGACGAAAGACCTGATGAAGGATTGGACCTCGTGGAGGTAACGACCACCTCCAAAACGGAAAAAGACACTTCAAGCAGAGGAGGAACCGGTAGTGTAGAAGTACCGGCCTCCCAAGGAAGAATGAAAGCGATGGACGAATGGGACACAACTGGATCTTCTGGCGAGCTGAAAGGAAACCGCTCGAGACGAGCTTTGTCTTAAGAGGGGAGCGGATGTAATGGACAAAGAATAGTCACTGCAAGAAGAGTAGCCGAAACAACAGGAGACACCGCAAGCACAGCTACGGGACAGAAAAGGAACGGGGGTGCACCGTTAGGCTATTCGAGACGAACAGCCTTAAGGAGGCAGCAGTGTAACATGTTGCACAACGGAGAACCCCTCCCTACCCAGCAGCAACGCGGCAACTCAGGCCACAGGCGCATGGCGGTAACATAGCGCTCCCTCCCTCCCCTCCGCGGTGACGTAACGCGCAACGCTATGTACCCATAACCAACTTCCTACTGTGACGTGGCACGCAACAGGCACCACTGCAGCTATATAAGGGAACTGCACAGCATCTACCAGTCAGATGTAATGCGAGAGTCGCCGAGTGTGTTATCAACAGTTCTCCAGTCAGCCGACTACAAGTTGGAGTATAGCAGCCGTCGCGGAAAGAAGAACCAGTCGTGTGTGTGAGTGTGTAATTGGGAGTGTGTGATACACTGATACATAGCTCCCCCACTGTAAACGTGTAGACTACTGAACACAGAGTGAGCTGATTTGTGCATAGGGTTATAAAGTGTGAAACCCCGCAACAGTGGTGACAGATTAATGCGATTAGGGTTATAAAGTGTGAAACCCCGCAACTGTGTGATAAGTAATTGTAGCCGTTACTTGTAGATTGTTCAATAAACCAATTAACGATCTCTACGGCGTCTTCAGTAACGGAAACACATTACAGTATTATTGGGGGAGACCTACCTGCTTTAACTGGAGCTTCCTCCTCCAGTGTAGTGGCTTCTGCACCAGAAGTGTCCATTTCCATTGTTGCCGCCCTGAGGGGGCGAAGTAGTTCTTGGTGGTAACCTCTGTTTTGGGGTTCCTTTCGATGGCTGCCATTGCTTTCTTTGGAGTCGGTGCGGTTTCAGCGGTTCTCTGTCTTTCTGCCTCCAGATTTCTTTGGAGCCTTCCTCCCGGGCTGGAATTTTAGCGCCTGATGCCCAGAGAGTGGAGGAGTGATGTTCCATCGATTCGAGTGCCTTGGATCAGAGTCCAAAGGAGTTAGAGTTGAATTGTGATCAGACGCTTACCGAAGGAGTTTTTGAGCTGCCTCGGGTGATCATAAGAGTTGGAGTGTGTTCGTCTGCAGCTTACCTGGTTGACTATTCTGCTGCCAGTGTATATTAGTCATTCAGCCGGGTTGTGTGAGTGGAGTGACTTAAAGGTTAAGTGTTCACTTCCTCGTGCATCAGCCATAGTTCGGATAGTGCGCAGAAAACTATACAGTGACTGGCATGGCTAGTGCATCGGAGGTGGGGCCGTCTCGTCTGCAACGGACTATCAAGCAGGCGAAATGACGCAGCCGACCCTGTGTGAAAGGCGGTGGAAGGCAGTCGTGGCTTCCTTTGAGAGGAACCACGTAAACTTAACAACTAGTAATCCTGACTGCCAGGAAGAAATCGAATAACTGGACAAAGGCTTGCAAACCATAGGGCAGCTTATCCATACATCGCCCTCCATAAATGGAAACAGCGGAGTATGGAGTAAACTAATAATGAAATCAGAGGCCGAGAGGACAGTGCTCTGTAAGCACCTCAACGACAAGGCTCTCTTTACAGCCATGCTGCGCCTCTATGCTGCCATCCACAGGGAGATGCGAGAGTTGCTCCTCCTGGAACAGAAAGAAGAATCAGCCGAGGAATTTTGCAAGCAAAGAAGGCGTAAGTGAAACCCCACAGAAGAACAGACGAAAAAGCCGAAACCATCACCTAGCCCGAGAGACCCTAGGATAAATTCCCAGGATGACGTAAAAACAAGAAACTTTTTGCGCCCCTGGAGACAACAGAAATGGATGTCACGGCAGAGACAACCGACAAACAACAACAGCAGCAGTCATCTTGCAGCAGGTCAGGTAGGCCTCCTCCCATTGTACTAACCTCTACAACTAACCTGATACAGTTGCAGAGGAATATCAAAGGTATTGTCAATGACAATTTTGAGTTCCGCAACACCAGGAATGGGACCAGAATTGTCACAAAAGAAATGGCGGACATTTTAGCCATAAAGAAATGCCTTGAGTTTACTTTTCCTATTATCCAAAATCCGGAAAACCCATTAAAGCTGTCATCCGTCACCTCCTGTAAAATACTCCAGCGGAGGATACCTGTGACGGTCTGGTGAGTCTGGGTTTTGACGTTATTAACGTCAAACAAATGACAACCAGTCGTCGGACGCCTCCAGAAGGAGCAAGGACCATCAATCTTCTCTTGTTCCTTGTGACCCACCCAAGAACGGAAAAGTGCCAAGAACACCTCTGCTTAACCAATCTCTGCCACATTGCAATCAGGGTAGAGGCATACAAAGCGCAAAATGGGCTTACACAGTGTTATAATTGTCAGGAGTTCGGCCAGGTTTGGGCAAACTGCAAGCAACGACCACGTTGTTTGTGGTGCGGTGGTGGCCACCTACACAAGGACTGCCCAGAAAAGGAGAACTCTGCCTCCACCACAGTATGTTGCAACTGCCGATTGGCAGAAGGAGAAAAGCCGCATCCAGCCAATTATCATGGTTGCAAATATGCCAAGGAAGAGCAACAGAAAAGGAAGGCTCAGAGAATGTCAAAAACTACCACAGGGAGGGTGTTCTCTTCAACTATCGTCACCCCAGATGTCTCCTTCGAGGTGGCACTGAGGCGGTACAGTAGAGCAGCAACAGCGCCCTCAGGAAAGCCATGTTCTGGTGGCTCCACCCCCAACAAGGAAGTAGATTATACCATCCCCGGCACTGCAGAAGGAAACAGGTCAGTAACTTCAGGCTACTCATGTAAACGATTAATCCCTATACAATATGTTGAGAGTAGTGACTGTAGTACAGCAGGTAATGACAGAGGTCAAGGTGCACTGTCCTAGGAGGAAAAAATAATGGTCATTACTAAATTTGTTCTAAACCTAATGAAACAAATGGCCACTAGTGTTCATAGGCCCCTCAAAGTCATAGCATTTAATGCGAACAGCATTGGGAGGCAGTGCTATGAGCTCAGTAAACAGCTGCAAGACCTGCACGTAGATGTGGCCCTGTTTTCAGAGACACATCTGAAACCTCATGAGAGGTCCTTTATTCCAAATTACCACTTTTAGAGAATCGAACGCCACTAGGGCAGAAAAGGCGGAACTGCCGTTGCAGTAAGAAAAGGCATTCCCCATAACCATGTAGACCTAACAACCCTTGATTCAGTAGAAGCGTCAGGGGTCTGCATACCAATTGGCAATAGTGAAGTACTGCTTGCAGCTGTTTATAAATCCCCAGGCAGAGCCTGGAGTGATGCTGACATCACTGAGCTCTTAAGCTTTAGACGTAAAACTATTTTGGCAGGTGATCTGAAAGCTAAGCACCCATTTTAGAATAGCAGAGTTTGAAACCCCTCAGGCTTAAAAATCATTGGTTTATTTGATAAGAGTTATTTCGAAATCTCAGCGCCACAGTGCCCCACTCATTCTTCCCCTGTGGGAAATGGTGACGTGTTAGATATTGTTGATCACCAAAATATCAGAGTGTAAGATGTCACCGTCTCTGATATTTTGGATTCAGATCACCGACATATAATATTCCACAGACTGGATTACTTTAAAATTAGGAATCTTTCGGAACCCATTGAAAAATTTACAGATTGGGAGTGGGTTCAAAACCTCGCCTCTGAGTTAATATCACCTAAACTAGAAATTAATTTTGGGGTAGAAGCCGCTAAAGTGGCACGCGTCTTTGCAACCACTATTGCTTCGGCATATAGGGTATCGACAAGTAAAAGTACACTTTCGGACATAAACAAAGAACTTCCTAGTCTAGATCGATTGATAAAATATAAACAGAGGCTACAAAGACTGTGGCAAGAAACCAGGGATCCAGCGTGTAAAACGGCAGTCAGTTGGGTCACCAAATCAATCAGGCGAATGACCCATAAAAGGGCACTTGAACGGTGGGAAACAAAAATAGTTAACGCTGAAGTCACACCTCAGCGTATATGGCCCATTGCAAAACCTCTCCTAAGAGAGACAGATCAAGGGCATCAACTGTTATTCATGGTTCTTCTGGCCTTAAATTTTATCCTTCTGAAAAAGCCAACGGAATTGCCGACTGTTTGGAAATGCAGTTCATGGCACATGACCAGTGTGACGAAAACCACAAAGAGCGGGCGGAGGCTAGAGTTCAAGCTCTGCTGGAAACTGCAGACAAAACCCCCCCCCTCAAAGAATCAGACCATGTGGCATACAGATTATTAATAAAATCTCTGAAACTAAAAAAGGCCTGGGGAATTGACGGCATCCCAAATGAATGCCTCAGGCACCTTCCAAGTCGACCACTGGTTAATCTAACCCGTTTATTTAATCATTGTTTTTGGCTTTCTCATTTTGCAAGTACTTGGAAGGAAGCACAATTAATAACTTTACCCAAACCCGGTAAAGATCCGAATTTCCCTCAAAATTTACGTCCAATCAGCCTCCCGTCCACGACAGGAAAACTATTCGAAAAAGTAATTTTGAAACTCCTGTGTAAACATATTGAAGAAAGAGGCCTGCTCAACGCAAGCCAGTTTGGTTTTCGTGAACGTCACAGCACGACATTGCAATGTATGAGGATGGCGGACCACATGACTCTTAATTTCAACAATAAAATGTCTACGGCTGCAGTGTTCTTGGATCGAAAAGTCTTTGATAACATGTGGCACTCAGGCTTGCTCTATAAGTTATCAAAATTGGAATTCTGTAAATGTTTGACCAAGCTTATTGGGTCCTTTTTTCTAAACGTAAATTCAGGGCCTCGGTTGAAGGCGAAATGTCAACGCCAAGGGAAATGCAAGCAGGGGTGCCACGAGGTTCAGCCCTTTCCCCTACTCTTTTCAAATTGTACATAAATGATGCCCTCCGCGTCTATTTGTAAATAGTACAGAATATCTAGGTGTAATCTTCGATAAGAGAGTGACATGTAGATTACACAGAGAAATGATCAAAGCCAAGGCCTTCAGAACATTCATTAGAGTATATTCCCTATTCAAAAGTGAGCGATTGAGCTCTAACATTAAACTGACCCTCCATGAAGCTCTTATTAGATCCGTAATGACTTATACTAGTCCCGCCTGGGAGTTTGTGGCAGACACCGATCTAGTGAAATTGCAGCACCTGCAAAACAAGATTCTCCGCACCACTGGCAATTTTCCAAGGCGCACACCGGTCCGCGAATTGCACATGGCATTCAAAATTCCATACGTATATGATTACATAACAAAATTATGCAGGCAACAAGCAGAAGTCACACAAAATCATGATAATGAGAATGTTCGCAACATCGGACAAGGCGAAGCCCGCCACAGAAAGTATAAGAGGCTTAAACTTGGCGGCGGTCAGGCATACAACTGTTCAAGTGAGTAGACTTCTGTGGTAGCTAATAATACTAGGAAAAGAAAAAGAAGAGAGAAAGGGCATAATCTGCTGTACCTAACAGCTGGACTAACAGAGGCCTTGTATATATTGTACATAGAAGTAAGAAATAAGTGTTTCTGTGTAAATGTACAAGGTGTGGCAATAAAGAACCCGGATTACTTTTATGACTCATTTCCGGCCACGTCATTGACGAAGAGGAGGGTAGGGCATTGACCCTTGGACTTCCCTCTACCGTCACACAAAGTTTCATTCACGTGCATCGGTTAGTCTGGCCGCGACCATTGTTAGAAGCGGATCGTGTTTCTGAGCTCCGTCGGAATAATGCTGAGTGCTAATGCAGAACAACGTGCTAACATCAAATTCCTCACAAAACTTGGAAAATCTG